AGAGAAGGGTTTTCTCTTGAAATAACGCTGCTACACGGGGCATTTTATTTCACAATAACGCTATTTCAAAATGGTGGCTGGACTCGATTATGCTAATTAAGCATGGGATATTTAAATCCCGCGCTTCATTAGCAATTTTGGTACACTACATTTGCATCCCTATCTTGAGATAGGGAGCAAGTGTAGACATACCCCAAGTCATCCTCTGTGTAACAGAGGAAATGACTTAATCAAGGCTGAGCATCCAACATCAGCTGAGGAGGTGCAGGTGTTCTAACCATGGTTTGGAAGAAGAGTTAGTACTTCTATTATTTCTCAGAAGGGTAGCCATGTTAGTCTGTAACTTTAAAAACAATGAGTATTCTTATGGCACCTTAGAGACTAACAAAAATATATAGAACCATGAGCTTTAATGGGTAAAACCCACTTCATCAGAAGAATTGGAGTGGAAATAACCAAAACCTAACATATATAACAGTGGAAGAAGTACCTGTCAATTGAAGGACTCATGTTAATGAGGGTAATTAGGTGGACTGGCTGTGTCCCATTCATAGATTTTCATGTGAAAATGAGGATGTTAAAGGTAGGAGAAATTGATTTTTTGTAATGCGCCTACCAGTTAATGTCTTTATTCAAGCCAAGGGTAACAGTGTCAAACTTATAGATTAATTCCAGTTCTTCAGACTCACTCTGTAATTGATTAGTGAAATTCCTTTGTAGAAGAAGGACTACTTTTAAATCCATGATTGAGTGACCATGCAGGTTCATATGTTCTCCTTCCTCTATTACGTTTTCTATCCAAGAACTACAATTTATCATTTAAGCATCTAGTTATGTTTGTGGTCTATCCAGATTGAAACTCCCAGTTCTGAATGTCAAATGGTCATTATTGTTTCTTTGTCAAATAGCATTTCATCTGAATTGCATAAGACCAGAGAAAACATTCATTATAGCTTTGCTGTAGATGGGTCCCTTCCAACCACCAGATGATTAGAAGTCTTTATTTAGACATGACCCTATCCACATGACAGCTGCTGCCAGTTCTGCAGTCAGGGTTTTTGATGTTTATTACTAATTTCTGGTTAGTTCAATGCCATTTGAACAATTCAGTTTTGTAACTCATTCATTTTCATAACTCTGGTGGTAAATTCCCTGAAAACCTTATGAAGTTAGGCAGTTAGCATATTTCTGTTATGGTCTTCCCATATCTTACTGAATATTGAAAAAGGGGGAAAAAGAATAAGCAAATAGTTATCCAAATGAACAGGTTATCTGACTAGATACATTAGCTATCACCTCCAAGCTACCTGAAGAAAAGAATTCATATAACAAACAGCTGTTTATGAAGATGCTATGCTGCCTTTGGTTAGTGACATTATTGCACATGTATGTAACAATGTGACACTGATTGCCAAATTTGCATTTGTTGAGAAGACAACTTTTTATGGGTATTGACCTTCCTGGACAGTCCTATTTCTATGTGTGGTTCAGCCATTATGTCTGAAAGTAAGGATTCTGAACAAGGAGAAGCATTTGCATATTATCTTTTTCTTGGGTGACGTGGGAATTTAAGGAGAGCAAGGATATGAGAGAGTATCATGTTTCATTGAGAAAAACTTTCCAGATATTTTATTTGGAATACTGTTGACCCATACTTCCCTCTAAAATTGGTGGCGTTTTACACTCACCTTATTCTCTTCATACGATTTCTATCGTCCCATTATTTCACATCTTTGCTTCACACTGGGAGATGAAAAAGCTGCATTCTTTAAAACCATAAAGTGCTTGGCCTAGTACACATAATTATTTACAAGTTATAAACAGAGCAACAATTTGCAAAGCTGAAATGGTTGATAATACAGTGTGACATATTCCAAAGTGTGTCAATTCAATCCAATAAACCACTGATCGTTTAAAGTCTTCTTCTCTATCTAGAACAGTGCTTCTCTATGTTTCCAGAGTACTATACCCCTTTCAGGAATCTGATTTGTCTTGAGTACCTGGCGGTTTCACCTTGCTAAAAACTACTTGCTTACAAAATGCGACCAAAAAATACAAGTGTCACAATACATTTACTGAAAAAATGCATCCTTTCTCATTTTACCGTATAATTAAAACAAGTCAATTGGAATTAATATTGTTCTTACATTTCAGTGTATAGAACATATAAACATGTCATTGTCTCTGTGAAATTTTAGTTTGTACTGACTTTATTAATGCTTTTTATGTAGCCTGTTGTAAAACTGGGCAAATACCTAGATGAGTTGATATCTCCCTTGGAAGATTAATGTGTATCCTCAGGGGTATGTGTGCCCCTTATTGAGAATAATCGACCTAGAGAATCTAATGAACATGAATAGTATCTTAATGAATTCATTACTCCATCCTTCCTCTTTTTCCCAAAAGCAATCTTACATTTCCTCTGTACTCCCCTCACATTTATATTAACTGAGTCTTGAAACCTAAGAAAAATAAGTCAGTTTATTGCAAAAGATAATATACCATTAAAATGGTCTAGAAATTTACAAAACATTACATTTGATCATTACATTTCATTAGGAAGATGCTCTGTATTTGAGCTAGTATAATTACTGTGTCTTGAGACTGTTGATAGGACAGCTGAATTTTTTATTGAATTACAGAAAAAATCGTTTCATAAACTTTATAACTTATGTCATACCAGAGTCAGGATTTTATTCTTACATTTTGTTTTTTTCAAAAAGAAATGGACTGACTTTCTTTGTAAAAGGGTGCATTGGCCATTATTCTGAAGTAACAATGCAAGCGTCTACACAGCAATTCCGTTATTTCAAAATAAATTTGAAATAACGGACGGCTTATTCCAACTTCTGTAAACCTCATTCCATGAGGAATAATGCCCATTCAGAAATAGTTATTTTGGAATAGCAGTCGTGTGGATGCTTCATTGCTGCTATTTCAAAAGAGCTCCTCCCCAGGGACATTCAAAGTAATTACTCTCCAGTGCCTCCTGGGGCTCTAAATTGAATTAGCACATCCACATTAGGTAAGCCTGCCTCGGACTAATTTTGAGGTTTCTCTGTTGTGTAGACGCGCTATTTTGAAATAAGCTATTTCCGAGTATTTCTTCTGGAATGGCTTATTTTGAGATAAGTGTGCAGTGTAGCTGTACCCAAACAGAGTAACTTTAAGTAGAGTAGTTTTCGTGTATATATTTATAATGTCGTATGCTGTACAGTATTTTACAAAGAGCTTAGTGTGTTTCTCACATAAGTGTCAAATTTTTCATAACTACCTTCTTTATTTTTGTATACCAGTGTTATCAAATGGTATTTTGTGTGTGTGTGTGTGTGTTTTACTCCTTTTACGGGAGCTACTTTGGAACACTACATTGTAAACTGTTCTGGTATAGAATCTTTTCTCTCCAACATGAATAGTTTTGTTATCTAGTAGTCTAATCCTGATGTTACACAAGTGAGCGGTGCCTTTCTGGGACCATTTCTTCTCCCTTTCCCTATTTGATACACTGTAATAGAAAGCCACATATCACATTTTGTTATGATTTATTTATGTTGTCAACATCTACACATTTCTATTTGAGGCTAAACAAAACAGAGAAAATAGCAAAGGACCAATGTGAGTGACTTTATATCTCTTAAGCTCTTTTCCTTAACATCAGACCCAGGTGATACCTATATGTCTAACAGATTTTTCCAGTCTGTTCTCCTTAACAGAAATCACCTTTCTGAGTGTAATACTATTGTAATGTGGGAGCTGAATATATAATTTTACAAAAAAGTTCTGTGAAGTGTGATGTGTAGAGGAGTTTGCGAGCAGTCCCTGTACACATGCGGTACCGCACAATTTCATTGTGCAAGTACAATGCCTGCTGTTTTCTTTAGTGCAGGAGAAGCTGAATTCTGCAGCTATATATTTTTTCTGTGTGATATGTACAATTACATTATTCCTTCCTCATTTTACTGTAAATGATAGTCAGTTGTGCTTGAGACCGGTGTGGAATGATCTGAGTTTGATTAATATACCTACCCTTAACTTCTCCTGTACTCCCAGACTGAGCGCAGAAAACAATTAGGCTGTGTCTAGACTGCATCCCTTTTTTGTAAAAGGGATGCAGATTAGACATATCGCAATTGCTAATGAAGCGGGGATTTAAATCTCCCCTGCTTCATTAGCATAAAAATGGCTGCCGCTTTTTTCCGGCACGGAGCTTTGCCGGATAAAAGTGCCAGTCTAGACGCGGCTCTTTCGGGGAAAAAAAGCCTTTTCCGAGAGATCCCTTATCCCTCTATGAAATAAGGGATCTTTCGGAAAAGGCTTTATTTTCCAAAAGATCCGCGTCTAGACTGGCGCTTTTCTCCGGCAAAGCTCCGAGCCGGAAAAACACGGCAGCCATTTTTATGCTAATGAAGCAGGGGAGATTTAAATCCCCGCTTCGTTAGCAATTGCAATATGTCTAATCTGCATCCCTTTTACGAAAAAGGGATGCAGTCTAGAGACAGCCTTCAAGTTCAGAATTGTCAGGCTAGCAGTGCTGACACTTCCTGTTAACCATTTCGTAGCCATACGAAAACCTGTCAAGTGATTGTTCACTCACTGAGGCAGTTGGTGCCTTATGCCTTGCTCAGATTATAGACAGTCATTCCTATCTCCATTAAGAGAGTAGCTACGTTCTGGGTGGCGAGATCATTAGGTAAATGGGCGTAGCAGTGGTGTGCTCTAACAAGGATCATATTCTGATCGGAGATACCTCTACAAATCCTTACTGAAGGGGGCTCATGGACAAAACTAGGTCACAGTTTTGCTATAGATTGAACCTCTCCAGTCTGTCACTCTCTGGTCCAGCAACAGCCAAGATCCAGCATGATTTTAGTCAGTCAGATGTCCACGTACCCATGGCCAAGTTTCCCACAGTCTCATAAAGTTTGGGATGGCTCTCAGTGTTCTCTGCCTTTATTTAGCTATAATTTACCCCAAATGTCTTTTAAAAACCCAGTCAGCAGTGGAAATGTTGGCAATGTTGCTAGACAATATTGACCTGCTGTGGTCCAACAAATTCTCTGGTTCAGCTCCAGTCAGGTGCTGGATTAGAGAGATTCAGCTTATACTAGACTTTAGAAGGAGAGTTTCTTCTGGAAAAGGTTCAGATGAATGGCATTGTGAGTTCACTGTTTCTCAGTGACTTTCATATCTAATGTGTTTAATTCCATGTAATTGCCATTCCTGAAAATGGTCACTCAACTGAATCATGCTAATTTCTTTACTTTCCACACCTCATCACTTCTCAACAAAGATCAGATACACCTATGCAAGGCCCGTTGTGCCATGGCTCTGCCCTTAATGACTTCTGTGTAATCTTATTACCTCCAGTGGGTTTGTGCAGGTACAATTGATTGTCCTTAATAAGTGGAAATTATTAAATAGTTTTGCTGATGTGCAACCATGAATAAAAGTGAACTTGACCTTTTACTTAGCATCATACACTAATATAAAAGGAGGAAAAGAAACATGGACATTTTTGTCAGTAAAGTAATGAGACATTACGTATCTCAGGATGAAATCTGATGAGTAAGAAAGCGCCGTGCTAGTATATTAAAATCTCTTTTCATAGTGGGACTTCCCTACTCTCTGCTTAAAAAAGTGCTGCCAAGGCATTAATGCTTTGCTATTCCATTTCCTCTGATGAAACTTTTTTTAAACATTTTGTCTCGAAGCCAGTACAAAAAGCTGAATTTTTAATATCCAATGTTGACTGGTTGCCAGAGCTTTTTTTTTTATGCTAAGTTGCCATTTGAAAATCGGCTCTAGCATATATATTAACTTCTCTTAACATTGAATGTACCTATCTATATTACCATCAGAACATCAAGTGTACTACTGGAATGATACCCTCTGAGTTGCTCTGAGTGTATTTTATCGGGTCAAAGAGGCATAGGAAATACATGGTGTATTGTGAAGGATCTTGCATGCATAATGGTTCAGGCAAGTGTACAGATGTTTCATAATGCTATTGCTGTTTAGGAAAGGGTGCTAATAAATATGAGAATACCACCCAACTGTAGTAAAATAGTTTAGTTTCAGTCCTGTGTGTTTTCATGGATTGTCTCCCCTGGAGAGGAAGTTTTCTGGAGATCTGTGTCCCACCCAACAGTTTTTGTTGCACTATTAAGGGGGAAAAAATCAGGGGATGATTTTTAGGCTATGTTTGTAACTAAGCATGATGTGGGAATTAATATGGGAGTGGCTTCTTTAATTTTGATGGCCTTTGTCTTTATCAACTAAAATCACAACATCAGCATTAGCTGTAGGTAAAAATGTTGTCTTCAGAAAGCATATGAAGATGTCTTTGTGAAACAAAAAGATAGATTGCACTCGGTTTCAAAATATGTCTCTCTTTTATTCATTGAGATTGTTGAATAAGCAAATTCCATTCTAAGCTTTCGAGTTTTCAAATACCTTATTAAACTTTTTTTGTTGTTTGTTTCTCATTTCACAGTTGTCCATTTTAAAGCATATATGGATATATGTTTTAATGTCCTCTGAAAAGCAGTCCTTCAGAGTTCTGTATGTCACCGAAAAGACATTCACATCCACCAGAAGCATTTCTTTTTCACCTTTTTTGTTTTTCTTCTTAATTCCTGTTTCTCAGGAATCGGATGGTCAGGTGGTAGTTTTGGGGATGGAGCCGTGGCAGGACTTTGCTCCACTTGATCCAAAGTTTTCAAAACCTGGTGGAATCTGCCTTCTTGTTGTCTGAAGTCATATTCCACGCTATAAAATACATGGGGAAAAGAAGTTAGCAAGCTGTAAATTGTCAATTGCAAGGAGAGAAATATGAAAAATATGTTTGCGCTTTGCTGAAAACAATATTTTCTGCTTCAGTTAGTTGACCGTATAGGCCGTGATTCCAATGCAAACGGTTGTGGGCTGTGCTGTTATGGGGGAGGCTGGTGTGTTGATCATTACTCAAGGGACTCATCTTTACTCACATGAGGTGAAGGTTGTGAAATTGGGGCACGCTCATTTATTCATATATTAAATAAACGCACAAATGGGAACATCCTTAAAAACCGTGCCAGAGTCAAGCAATCAGGGCCGGCCTTAGGTCAATCTCGGAGGAGGAGTGCAGTGGCTACATGCGCCGCAGGAGGTGTGAATTGAGCGCAGGGATTCCCTGCACCGCGGGGGGCGTGGTGGTGTTAGCTACCTCCAGGACTTTGCAGGGGGAGGATTTTTTTTTTTGCTCAACCAAAATTGCTGCAGGGCCCCGTCAAAATTGTTCAAATTGGGCCCTGCACTTCCTAAAGCCGGCCCTGCAAGCAATCACAGCTAGGAAGTCTTAAACACTATTGTTAGGCAACATGTCACTTAATTCCAATAACAATTAATGCATCTGCTGCTTCAGTCACCCATTTTTCTTCCTTCTCAGAGTATATAAACAAGAAGGAAAGCAAATCTGCCTACAGATATTTATCTACACACATCTACCTGTAAATATTTTCTTGAAATAATTTTTAAATTTACTGTAGTAATGAAAGTGAGCCATAACATTCATCTTCAGCATGATGTTTGCATTGTGGTAGTCCTCAAGTTCCATAGGATAGAAAGGTTGCTCATGCTGATCACTTTTTTTTATTACTGTGTAAAATGATTTGTCTCATAAAATGCCCGTTTAAACTGTCAGTGAGTTAAATTTTTAATGGTGTTTTTTTTTTAACAGAAAATACGTTCTTGCTCCAGTGAGTGGGCGTCTCTTGCCTTCAATGGTTCCACCTCATTGGGCTGCATTATAGTTGAGGAAGATGTGAAGGGTCACCTCCATGCATTAATAGTAAACAGCTTCACCATAAACAGAATGGCTTCAGGTTTACCACACTTTTCTAAATAAATGATTTCCTGACTGACATTTTTCTTCCCATATTCACTGATGTATAAGAGTAGCCATTTGGTGCCGGTAGTCTTGAATTCAAAAGTCAGACTTTAAAATGAATGAGCAACATACAAACTACTTATAAAAAATAACCTGTTTTGTCGTTGGTTTGTTGATTTAATATTACACTCCAAAGGCTCCACTGCGCTAGGCATGATAGAAATTAAATTACATGACATGGGTTCTGCCGTGAGGTGTTTACATTAAAATCCGAAGACAAAAGACAAGAGGTGAATGTTACTAAAATCGGAGAGGAAGAAGGATGAGGATACAAGCAATGAGAACATGGGTTTCTGTAGTCAATGTGCATTAGTTTGTGGCTCTAAAGCAGTTGAAACCTATATCTGGGTATGTCCATCAGATAATCCTGCTATCCTTCAACATATTCTCAACTGGGAAATTCTTGTAAATGTCAAGTTAGCAGAGGGTCTTGAGGAAGGATTTGAATGAGTACAGGTTAGAGGTCTTGCAGACTAGTTCAGGGATGATGTTGGTTTCATATAGGGTTATTTTAGGGAGATATTCCCCCCCCCCCCACCCATGTTTTTTTTATTATCCTATTAAAATAGTCACTGGAAGATTGATGGTAATCCCGGGAGACTCCAGACCACTCCTGGAGGATTGGCAACCCTATGTAAGGTATATAAAAGAAAAGACATAAGTCCTGATTGGGGAGTATTAGATGAAGAGTCAATTCTGGCTTCATTGGTAGACTGTGGGGAATGGGGAATGCGGATATGCAAATAAGGCACAAGGATAAATAAGAGAGTGCCATAACAGTGTATGTGTTGAAACTGAGGACAAGACTGATACAGAAGAAAAAGGGGAACTAGTGGGAGGATTAAAAATGGTCACCTGGAAAATCAAATGGTCCAAACCATCAGTGACTGATGATTTTATTAGTTGCTTGTAGAGTGTCCAGGAGAGGATATAATATGGATGTTGTGGAGGTCAGAGGGAGATGACTTATCAGTAGACAAGTTGGTTTGTGTGTCTGTCTCATTGATTTTCAAATGAGACTTGGGCTTCTAAATGCCAAGTCCATATTGAAAATGAGAATTTGTGCCTCATCTTAGAGATGCTTTGGGTCAAGAAGTGACAAGACTTTCATTCAGCCTAAAAGAGTGTGGTGAGGGAGAGGCCTTTTAAGTCTGGAGATTTTATGTAAATCACAATGGTCTAATTAGCTTTATTGGCAAATGTTTATGTAAATTGCCAGCTGTGAAATTCATCTATTCTCCTTTTCAAGTCCATCAGTTCTCCTGTTGGAATCGTCCTCTCCCATCTTGAGTTGTCCTTATACCCCCAATCTATTTACTGCTCTGCTATTCTCCCCTTAGCATCTCCCCATCAGTGTCACTGGCTCCCTCTTCTCTGTTGCCAGATCACCCTGCCTTTCCTCTTTCTTTGCCCGCTTGAACCATGTCATCGAGCAATTCCATAGGTATGGAAGTGTGGCTAGAATAGCACCTTCTATCAAACTCCGCAGCCTTGCTCTTGCCCTCTAGAGAAGTACGTGTGTGCTTGTTACTTTCTGACATACAGTTCAGGCCAGTGCAGGGTTGTTACCATTGCCCCTGCCACCTGAGGTGCCAGACAATGCATTGCATTCTAGGTGGGGATGCTCCCAACCAACACACAAGCAGTCAGGTTGTACCCTGACAGTGTCTGTGTGCTAGGCAGCCCTGGTTCAACAACTCTGATCCCAGCAGCCTGTTTAGAGCCCCACTCTGGCTTTCACCAACCTGGGTTACAACCAGCAAGGAGACCCCAATGCATCTCCAGTCCTGAATTTTCCCAGATCCATGTGCTTTTCAATATCCAGCCCTCTCGTCGACAGTTCAAGGAGATCATAATGTTCATTTGTTTCCCAAATAAGCACAAAGCCTATCACAGCTTATTAATTTAACTGGGATAAATACATCCAGTGGCTGGTTCTAAACAAACAAAAAAATTCATTGACAAGCAGGACACAGGTTAAGCGAAATCATGTAAAAGGACAAAAAGTTGGGGTTATAAGCAAATAAAAGCAAAAACATCAGCAAGTCTAATACTTATTCTAGCAAGGGTACAGGCTTTGTTCAAGATAGTTTCTAACCTATGATCAGTTTCCAGAGACTTCCGCCTCTTGCTTGGTTGACGGATCCATTTTTCTCGGCTTGCAAGAGCTCTGTTCCCTTTTGTCTCTGTAGTGATGAATGCCAAAGATAGCTTCTGTCTTTATTTGGATAGTCCCAACATTTATTTCAAGAGGCAGGATGGCCTCTTTCTGTGTTCCCCTTTCTCTGGGCTTCCCCACTCCTTGCTGATTTCGGTGTCAACAGAGTTTCCATTGTTACATGTCACACACAATTTCTTTGGAAAGCTTCCTCCCCCCCCCCCCCCCCCGCATAACTCAGTACGGTCACAGGCAGGAAGCATAATGTCACTAAATGTCCCTATTTCCTGAAAGTGTTCATACTACATTTCCTAATAATATTAATCACTGGCATGTCACAAGCTTTCTGTACAGTAATGTTGTATTTAATCAGTTAATCCAATTGGTTATCACTTGAAATTCACACTGCCTGACTTTATTGACCAGTAAACCTTCAAATGGATTTTTCTGAGGGTTACCCTCAAAGTTAAATTTATTCAAGCTGTGAGGAAGATGGCTAATGATGGAGGTCCTAATAATATTAATCACTGGCATGTCACAAGCTTTCTGTACAGTAATGTTGTATTTAATCAGTTAATCCAATTGGTTATCACTTGAAATTCACACTGCCTGACTTTATTGACCAGTAAACCTTCAAATGGATTTTTCTGAGGGTTACCCTCAAAGTTAAATTTATTCAAGCTGTGAGGAAGATGGCTAATGATGGAGGA